CTTTCAACATTTTACAAGTTCAATGAATAGTTTCGGCCTACCGCATAAACATTATGCACTAGTAGAAAAACAAGTTCATAAAACTGCTAAGCCGCTCCCAATTTCCTTACTGATATTGACGTGCTAAGGTCGGACATTATGATCCGTTGTTGTTTCTAGATTACGGCCATATACAAGAATCTCGATATGTCAGAGGAGTCGTGCGTTGGCAGGGAATACGACGTAGTATACGGAGCAGGGTTGACTTCTAAACTCCTAAAGAGCAGCGGTTCAGGTGAGACGAAAGCAAAATGTGCAAAATTGACCGCTATGAGTTACGGACGTATTCAGAGAACTGCGTGCTGCAAAGCGTTATATCCGGTGATATTTCCAAGATCGGTAAAAGGGATATGGAAGAAAGAAAAAGGTAAAAAGAGATCCTACCAAGATATATATGAATACAACATTCGAGAATTTTCAGTGACCTAACCGCAATCGACTCTCAATTGCGTGACTCTTCAACGACTTCAACATGCAGCGAGGAGCTCAACCAATTTGGATATCGGAGTTACAAACAGGAAAGGAAAGAAGAAAATTGGTAACTAATTACTAATGAATGAAGATATCTGAGTTCACTGTCATACTTCCAGCGAACTTCCATGTCTAGCTATTTCTCATCTTTCCTATTCCGTCGATCAAAGAAAAAGCTGGGAGCGGCTTATGCTCCGAATGCCTAAGCGTCAATTTCTGGTAATACACACACCCAAACTTTATATAATACAAGAATTCATTCCAGATCCGCGATGTGTCATTTCAGCTTTGGGCAGGAGATATAATGGCTGTAATGTCAGCATCAGGTAAATGCAAACTTTCTACGTGTTCATTTGAGTTGATCAGATCGCCATACTGCGTGAGAGAGTAGGATGGCGGTAAATGTTGTTAGTTGTGTAAAGACATGCAGGTAAAAATATCAATATTTGTGTAGTGATTTATAAAGTAATGCGGACGAGTGGCGTAGTGGTATGAGGCGCCGTTATGA